GAAATTTTACTCAACTAACTTTTTTTAATTTATTTGACAAATATTTGTCACCCTCTATAATTCTCAATTATTAACTTTATCTCGCTCTTTTTCATCTTCTTCTGTTTTAGAGTTTATACAGATGGTTCTTTATAAGATATAGGTTTTTCTTCAATAAGAATGGGTATTGCCTGGCTTCAAACACACTAAATTTCTCTAATAGTTTCCTTTTTCTCTGCTTTCACATTCTCTTTTCCTTCCTCCTCATTACCTGAATTTGCAGCTATTTTTACTGCTCTACTCACAGCTTTCTCTTTTGTAATGTTATTTTTTTACTGACTCAGCTGTTATTATTTTCCAATTTAACAGTTACAAATTCCTCTTAAAAAAGGCTTCCACTATTCGTCTTGCTCTCAAAATTAATAATTATGTGCATTGGTCCTGTTTCTTTAAAATAATGGACACTCACAACCTCACTGTCAATATGATTAAAGTCAAAGCTCATATTGATAATGTCTTTAATAACAAAGTCAATACTCTAGCAAAATCCTATTTAAATACAACAGCTCTTCAACTTTACATAAATAATGCATCTTGTTGCTATTTCACATATAACAATGATCCAGTTTTAATACCTATCAGACAACTTTGCAAAGAATTATTTTGTGAATATTCTATCTCCCATTTGCTTTAGCTCTCTGTCTTAGCAAAATACTCATGGCTCTATCAAATTAACTGGTTTGCCATCTTCTTCATACTCAATGACAATACAGCAACACAATCTACATCATATTCTACCTCCTTTGTTAGAAGAATGAAATATCAACGACTTCTTGAAATGCTACCCACTTTTGAGATTCTCAAATTACGACATCCCTCTATCTATGACCCTTCGCTTTTGTGACTTAGATGTGATGCCACTAATGAAAACTTCTATCACATATGGATGTGTCCCACTGTCAATTATGAAATAAAAAAGATTATTCAACAATCTAAAAATTATTTGAAGGATATCACCCATGCACATGATTATAAAATTGATCAGTTGAACTTTTGGCTGCTTGATACCTATAACACTTCAGAATTTTTCGCTCTTATTAGAAAAATAGTTCCAGTACCCCTCTTTAAATTCTTTCTCAGTAAACTTTCATTGCAACCTTTAGCCTTAGCCACTTGCTCTTCTTTCATGCATAAAATTTTTGAACTTACTCAAAATGTTTGGCGTGATCATTGTCAACTTGTTCATGATTTTGAAAAATCCCTTAACATTACTATTGATTCCAAAGCTGCCAATTTTATTACCTCAGGTTATGATCTGTCGTCTAACCCTTCTATCCAATCTTTTAGCTCTCTTCCTATATCTTCGATGGTACGGATGGGATCCCATTGGTCAAATTTTTGGTGCAGTAGTGGCCTCGCCCTCTTCGCTTTATTCTATTTTCTTACTCGAAAAATGATCTTCTTAGCTTAGGTTAGGTTTTGATTTTGGGGGAGTGCAGGGTCGGTCTTCTATAGTTTTAGTCTTAGGTTATTTCTTTACGAGATTTTTGTAATTTCTTTTGATTTGTATTTTATTTTATATTTTACTTTCATAATAAAGATATTGCGATACTACCGCACTTTAAAAAAAAAAAAAAAAAAAAAAAAAAAAATATTTATATTTTTAAAAATGAACATAATTGGTAATAATATTCTATTTACTTTGTAATTTCATTATCTATTGCTTTTTTATTTAAGAAAATTAATAAAAAAAATTTTGTTATTTTCTAATAATTTTTTTATTAAATTTAGGCAATAGTTTAGATTTAATAATATATTGAAGAAAAGTTATATACAATATTTTAGCAGTTTGGTTTATTAGTTCGGAACGTAGCGAAGGACTATTATAGTCTACGCGCTATGATGAAATTCCCGCTCAAAATTGATTGAGTCCATACATGGTTGGTCCCTTTCGTTACACTTGTGCTCCGGACTTCACAATGGCTTCCGGAACCGTTCCATATAGTATATAATTATTAAATCAATAATTTTAAATAATCAAAATTGTTTATAATAATATATAATGTTTTTATTATATATATATGTAAACTATAAAATAAAACAAATACCATACATACTTCTGATACTAGAATACAAATTTTTGAATTTAAAAATTTATTATTTTCGTATAACGAGATGAGCAAATCGTATATAGCAAAGATCACTTTTCTTTTATCATATTATATTTATAGATAAAAAAAAAAAAATCAAAAAATTTACATATTGATCATCAAGTCCAGTTATATCATTTATTTCCCATATTTCTTCATTTAAACCCATGACAATATTCTTATTTTCTTCTACTTCATTCATTAAACTTTCAGGGTGTATAATTTATTAAGCTTTAAAAAACTTTATTTGATCTGCACAGCCTTGAAATAGAGGTTCGATATTCGGATTTAAATTCGGATCCGATTTTTAAAATTAAATAAATCCGGATATAAAAATAAACCCGGTTCCAACCTCTATCATAATATTCATCATAAGGTAATTTTTCTAATTCTTCAACAAAGTATCTGTGCTTCCAATTTAAAACAACTCGATAAATAATGCATTATTTTGGAAACTTTGATCTAATTTAAAATAAAAAGCAAAAAAAAAATCGTTTATTCTACATTGTGATACAATCTGTTAAAACCGTCAAATTCGCAAAGTTGTTATCGAATTTGTCGAAACTTTCGAAACCCGTCGAAGCTCATCGAAACTGTCGAAACCCATCGAAACTGTCAAATAATTTCTGAAAAGTTTCGACTTTTGCCAAAATGTGTTTAGGGTTTTGCCCCGCAACTATATACTGTATATAAATCCAATAAACCAAAGAAAAATAATTATAATAAATAAGCAAATAAGGATGAAAAATCTAAGAATAAGACAATAAAGAAAATTTAGTGAATTCTATTTGAAGTATAATTATAAGCCATAAATTTAAAAGCTAATGTTAGAATTAGAATGTATTTTAAAAAAAATATATATAATAAACGAAATTTTCGGATGTGTAGATCGCCGACGTTGAGGTAAATTGATTTTATTTATTATATAAATTTTTTACATCAAAACTTTCTGCTTATTTTTCCCTTGTTAATAACTTAGAGAAATAAGCGCAACAATATTAAGGTATTTGTATTTAGAAATAAACATTATTATTTAAACTTGCGGTTATAGCGTAGCGTATCTTAATTTCTAATTGGACAATTTTATAATTTTTTTTTAGTATTTGTGTTACGTGAACTCATTTTTTACTGAAACTTCTCAGTACGACCATCGGTAATCAAACGCATATTGTTTGTCACTCAATGTTGTTATGTATTACTTCTGAATATATGGTTCTGCTTTTGATAATTACTTTTTTATTTATTTTATTTCTTTTTAAACCGAACATGCATTTTTTAAATTAGAATTATTATCCTTTAACTATAGCCTCTATTCTAAAACATGACAGCCAAAATACAAACAGATGAATCCAACGTTTACCTTGGTTGGTTAGAAAAGGCAATATCAGAAAACTATATTAAATATTATAATTACGATGAGTTCGTTAATAAAGAAGAAATCAGCTGCTGTTCCTATGGAAACGTTTCTCGTGCAAGCTGGGGAGATTCCGGTACTATAATGGCCATAAAATATTCACTAAACTTAACCATCCAAGAAATTGTTAATGAGGTAATTTATTATAAATGTTTCAAACCAACAACAAAATATATATATTTATTACTATATCTAATTATTTTAAAATATTTAGATAAAAATGCAACGTGAAGTTGATTATCATGCAAATATTATTCAGTTTTATGGAATATCCCGACTAGAAACAAATCTCATCTATCAAAAAAATAAGTTTATGTTGGTTATGGAATACGCTAATGGAGGATCATTGCAATCTTATTTAAAAGAAAATTTTGACAAGCTAGAATGGA